ACATTAATGAATGATCCGTTAAGCATTATATAATGTTTGTAAATTATTTATTAATTAAGCTTTTAATCATTTTAAACCATCTGTCAAAATCATTTGAAGATTAAAAGAAAATGCATGATCATATGAATTGAAAGTTTAATGACATTTGTAAGCATTTCAATTTACATTAAATAATGTAACATAATAATCTGTTAATCATTTGGTAATGTTTAATAGAGTTCATTAGTTAACATTGCACATTATCTAATTTCTAGATATGTGAATATAAAGTAATGATTAGTTAAACATTATATAATGTTTGTTAATGATTTATTAATGAAAGTTATTATAAAGTGTTACCAACAGGCCAAGTGGAACCAGAGTATGGAACATCAACCAATTCATATGACGACATTGACATTGTAGACGTGATTTGAGAAATCTTATCATTAAAATAATTAGCGAAATTCTCAGTGACAGATGCCTCAGGAAAAAGGTTGACATTTGGATGGAGAGCAGACTCAATGGTAGAAAATAAAATATTTGTCTTATGGCCGTTTTGTATAATTAACTCTGAAAAGTATCTACATTTTGCAGCCTATATTATGCAGCAGATAGATAGATAGATAGATAGATAGATAGATAGATAGATAGATACATACATACATACATACTAAATAATATAAATGTATTAATAAATGTTTATTAAAAACATTTTAAATATATTTAATAAACATGAAATATATTGTCATACATAGCATACTCAATGTGAGCCAAAATATAACAATTTTATATGATTAAAATTATTGCTACATTACTGCTGTTAATATGAATGAAACAATACGCTACATATTGTGTGAGGTTTAATTGTGTATGGAAATGCTTACTACACTTCTGAAGGTGTACCATCTCTTATTTTGTGCTTATTAAAAACCAAAATGCCACAAAAAGCATAATATATAAGAGCATTATAAAACTTTTTGTCTCGTATTCCATAAACTAAGGGACTCAAACAACGAGGCAAGATCAAAAACAAAATGAAATTTGAGTACCTTACATTCACAAATAGCATGAAATCTACTTTCCATAAAGGCATTTCTATATAAGGGGTTATAAGCTGCATCATAGACAGAAGCAGCTGAACACCATGGAGGATAACAGTTTTGAGACCCTTATTTGTGGAGTTCTTCCTCTCGGAGGAGGAAGATCTGGCCGCCAGTATAATCTTGAAGTAAGTGGAGACAATAATACACAACATCATGATGAATAAGAGCTGCAGACTTGTCGCTCTCATGTCTGCCAGCCATTTTACCTGTAGCATGATCTCCACACTACACACAACATATTGGTGAAAGACACCAGGAGGAATATAAGCAAAAGAGGCTATTAAAACAAACAATGGAATGACAAAACTGACACTCCATATGACGAGAAGCCCAATGAAGGTGTTTTTAGGGGTGGAGATGCTGGAATGTCTTAAAGGCATACATATGGCTACATAGCGCTCCAAACACATGGCTACAAGAGTCATGGGTGAACAAACATAGAGCAAAAACATAAGTGTACAGAAGATATAACAAGGAATTATATGCACAGGGTACTGGTAAAACGACCCCATGAGGGTTAAATCAGTCAACAGCATAAGAGCAGAGTCAGCAAAAAGAGTCTGAGCAAACAGAATATAGCGTGTTTCCCTGAAGGTCTCTTTCTTCAGAAAGGTGAAAATCATCAGTCCGTTTACATACAGAAGAATCCCCACTAATACCTGCACAACCAAAGGCTTCTCATTAATTGCTTTCAAATTAAATGTGCTGCTCAAATTGTTGTTTTCGGTTAAGTTCATCTTGACAGCAAAAATAAGCCATAAAAAACTCAAAGTCAGAAGGTGTAAGTTGTGATGTACCTCAAGGCAAATAGAGTGAACCTCCTAACTCTCTCCTCCTCCCTTTGTGCTGTTTTTATAGAGCTTTAGATGGGCTGAGCCTTATTTTGTTGACAGACAGTCATATGTCATCAGTGCAGATGTTTCTATGATCTGAATACTAATTTCATCATTTGGGATGATTCAGACAACAAAATGATAAAATATTAGATTTAAAGATAATATTGTGTGTGGGTGTTTTTTTAGGCCTGTAGCAAATTATCTCTAAAGGAAAATTATTTTTAATTAAAAAGTATGAATTATTTATATCAGCTGCCAGTAGTAACTAGTAGTGCACTCTATCTGCCATGTGCCTTGCGCCACTTTATCTATCTTTTTTTTTAAATGTCCTTATTTGTATATTTGTATAGTTTGTATTTTATATATATTTAAATTGTATTTATCTGTATTTTTACGTTCTGTATTTTACGTTTTTACGTTTATCTGTATTTTACGTTTTTACGTTTACTGTATTTTTATGTTAGTGTTTAGTGTTAACTGTATGCAAGGGTCTGAGAGTTACTCAATTTCAATTCTCTGTATGTATGTGCTGTACATGTGGCAGAATTGACAATAAAGCAGACTTTGACTTTGACTAACTATAGCAGAATTAATATTACAATCAACTAATTTTTTCGTCCAGCGAACATTCAGTGTAATTTCATATAAATTCTTAAGAAATGATATTTTGTGGCCATGGAAAATAACTTGCCTTCAGTACTAATGCATTAGAGCATATACCGCAAAAAAAAAAAAGAAAAAAAAAAGGGGGCGGGGGGTATAAGTGAATGAATGAAACCGTTAGAAACCAGAGAATGAAGCTATGGAAAAGCAGTTAGTTAACCACCTGAGGGAAAAATCAGTGCCTTTTTACAAAGTGGACTACAGCTTATACTAAACCTCTGTTTCATGTAGTTAAAGGTACGATATTTGCATGTTATGAGGAGGTGGTATGAACCAATGGATGGTGGACTAAACAAGGGTAATTTTGATATCAAACACATTACCAGCTACATTATGTAATAATTCTATCATACGGCGTGCATAAAACAGTATAAAACAATACAAAAGGCATTATACAAAACAGCAGTGGTACACACAATGTTCTGGGAATGTGCACATTCATTCATAGAAAGGGGCAGGTTTCCAGAGAACCTCATGGTTTGCCTGTTTTGTGAAGAATGTATGTGGTTTATTTGTTACGTATGACAAATGTTAAAGGGGTCATATGATGCGATTTCAAGTTTTCCTTTCTCTTTGGAGTGTTACAAACTGTTCGTGAATAGATAAGATCCCTAAAGTTGCAAAGACTAAAGTTTCAAACCCAAAGAGATATTCTTTATAAAAGTTAAGACTGGTCCACGCCCTCCTAAAACGCCTTGTTTAAACACGCCCCCACATATCTACGTCACTGTGTGGGAAGATTTGCATAACGCCGTCCAAATGTTCACACAAAGAAAGAAGGCGTAACTTTATTGTTGCTGCCATCGCCGCCGCCATGTTGTGAAGAATGTATGTTGTGAAAGCTAAACTATTTTGTTTGGCCTTCCAAAAGAGGACACGACTAGAAAACAGTGGTTAAGTTGTATTTACAACACTGTTCCAGAACAGCACTGGATAGCTGGCCAATCAGAGCACACCTCGCTTTTCAGACCGATGAGCTTTGTAAAAAGAAACAATAATGTACAGAAACAATAATGTACAGTATGTGGAAAATAAAGTGTTTTCCACATACTGTACATTAAACCGCATAAACACATTTCATTCAAGTGTTAAACATATTTTTTTTATAAAAATGTTTGAGCAGTATTTCTTCCAACAGGGTTGACAAGGTTTTCAACGGTTTTTCAACAGGTTTGACAAGGTTTTCAAAGGTTTTTCAACAGGGTTGACAAGGTTTTCAAAGGTTTTTCAACAGGGTTGACAAAAGCTTTTCATTTTAGGTAATTGATTTTATTTAAGATTATTTTATCCAACATCTAAGTTCTAACATCTAATAACAACCAAGCAAAAACATGGTAATTTATCTCCAATATTTACTAAAATATCCATCATGGGAAACCATAGGCTATGATACACTGAACGACATCAATTTTCACTCTTGTAAATTTTAGTACTTACAAAGAAATGACAAGTAACATGCTGAAGTTCTTGTAGTAGAAAGACTAGGTTTTCAAAGGTTTTTCAACAGGGTTGACAAGGTTTTCAAAGGTTTTTCAAAGGTTTTTCAACAGGGTTGACAAGGTTTTCAAAGGTTTTTCAACAGGGTTGACAAAAGCTTTTCATTTTAGGTAATTGATTTTATTTAAGATTATTTTATCCAACATCTAAGTTCTAACATCTAACAACCAAGCAAAAACATGGTAATTTATCTCCAATATTTACTAAAATATCCATCATGGGAAACCATAGGCTATGATACACTGAACGACATCAATTTTCACTCTTGTAAATTTTAGTACTTACAAAGAAATGACAAGTAACATGCTGAAGTTCTTGTAGTAGAAAGACTGAAATAAAATTTTCTTGTACAACATACTCCAATAATCTTTGTTTTATTTACAATTTTATTATTATTATTTTATTTTTTTTTAAGTCTGTTTAAAAGTAGTTCGCATTCAGGTCTTAATGGGAAATGTTATTGTTGTTGATTCATTTAATTTATTCACCATCTTTCATATATGTCACAATGTTTATTTGAATGAACAATCTATTGACAATTTGCTTTGAATTTGCTATAAAACAGTTTGGACTAAAATTCACCTCTATGGTGTCCATTGGTATCAATAGACTGTATAGACTTTAAGGACTAGTGTAACTGGGGAAATAAAGGCAATGATGTAACTTCATGAGAAATACAGTATGTATCCTATTAAGAAATAGATTGGAAATCTACATTAATGTCGGTTTTAGTACATCAAGTTGCCACTAGAGGACGTAATCACCAAATACATCTGTAGAGGCCCTTAAACCCAACATTCCTGTAGCCTACTATTAACGAAACAAAAATCATCATATCCCCCGCCCCATCCCTTGCTAATAAAGGAACAGTTCTCACACAGAAGGCGACGAACGGTGAAGAAATACTCTCAGTCTCATGACATTTCTGTTACAAGTTTATTTTAGAACACTGACGTATACAGAGATGTGTCTGAACCCACATAGAGAAGGGAAAAGGAATCTACACCTCTATCTGCAGCATCAAATTCACTACACAGTGCTTCAAAACAGCATCTCTATGCTGAAACAAAGAGAAGAACAAAAACCCTACAAGGCTATAATACAAAATGTATACACAAAACAAAGTAACAATAATTGGGCACCTTTTAAAAGTTACACAAAGAACTGGTGCTGAGGTAGACAATACAATAAAGTAAAACACAACGAATGTAAAACCATTTCGACACCAAGAACACGGTCTTGTCACTAGAACAAGGCAAATGGAGCGAAAATGGCCGTTTGGTCCCACGTGGATCCTCAGTCCGAGTATTAATTTGTGTAACAATGGCACAAATATGGGCGCACTGAGTGACATGGCTACTTCCTGTCTGAAAGCAAAGTAAAACACAGTGATACAGCGGCAGGGATGCCAAGTTTTCACTTAAATGCTGACCTGTAGATTTATTGCTTGTGGCGACCGAAAAAGAGGTTACAAAACTAAACATAGTATCCATAATGACAAGGAAAGTGTAGGTGTTTATCCTAAAATTGATATCTATGATGTTCCGTGAGGAAAAGGAAAGGCATCCCTGACTGCCTAAGAGCACAGTTCATATCAAGGTGACTTTGCATAAAGACACAAATACAGGGCAGATGGTGTATCAAATCATTTACAGGGTGTCTGTCAGAGCACCTCGTTGTTGCTAACCGGTGCATGTATTTAACACTGAAGAAGTCGACCACATTGACGCACACTGCACACACAAGGACCAGTACAGACCGTATATGTGACTAATCTTACAGTGAGCGGTGAACACGATACAAACACACAGATACAGCTTTACTTTTCATGTCTTACAGGTCGCTTGTGCTCCTTGACCTACAGCTCTTGGCATTAGTTCACTCACAGTCATTGTATACTCGAAATGTGGAATCATCATCATCATCATCATCATCATCATCATCATATGAACTGACACCCAGCAGCAATGACTACAATACGTTTTTACAAACATCTACTACTTTTATATGTTTAACATTGTAAAATAAGCACAAGAAAACAATTTTCCATGCAAATCAAGAACAAGCACAAATGCAAACGATACTGTAAAAATATTCGCCTCACTCAAAATGAAAAAAAAAAAGAAAGAAAAAAAAAAAAGAACAGGGGTCGCACAATACCCCGTACAAAAATACAACATATTCCCTTATCAAAGTGCCGCATTTGGCTCTTGTCGAGAGATTTATTTTCACAGAAAATCACCTATTTGTTTTTGTTTTCTAGCGAACTTTTCCACGTAACTGCACGCATCTCTGATGACTTACCGCTTGAATAATTTTCACATAAAAACATCATTTTTATTCACATTGTTTCAAGTTTATCCCCTCAAGTATCTAATAACTAAACATTTTCTCAACGCTATTCTAAAATCATCTAGAATGTATGCATCTACCCTTTCAGGATGAATACGTTTTATCATAAGGAGTGTAAATATAATGATGAACGAACCGAGTTGTTGTTTTTTTATTAGTGAATGGAAACATAAGAGTGGGTGTAAATGAAAATGCTGTGCTTTTGCTTTAGTGCAAAACTGAGAGCAGAGGTAGCCCTGAAACTGATGGCCGAGAGGCAGATATGCACACTAGTACTATGCTTAACGCTAAAATACCACTGAATAATTCACAGACCCAGACGGAATCAGCATTTAAGATGTGGTCACATTAGCACATTTCAGAATCGTTTCATAAGCAAAAAGGGTCCATTGTCAATACTGTAGTGATGGGTGAATTTTATATGAATGCATATGTTACTTATATGAAAACTTATGATTTTTAGAGAATAAACATAAGCATGAAGCGGTGAAAGAGACACGAGTTAATCTGATAGCGTTGCATTCAACCCTGCACCAAAGCAGTCTCTCATCGTGTCGCTGGTTAGCCTCTGGTTTGCCTGTGCGCGTTCATGTGATTTGGAGGAGGTGTGGCTTTGGAGAGTGATTTGCAGGGAGGGTGGGATCTTATGCATTAAAAGCTAGCTTGCTATTGCTAGCCTCTCCGAAATCACCTACCCTACCTTTAAACTCGTTGTGAAATCTGTGCAATTGGTAATGTTCTCTCTCATATGAAATTCCTGATCATTTGGATTTTTTTTTTTTGAAGTGACTGGATTTCCAAACTGATCTCATGAGAAAAGGTAACTCTTTTACGAGGTGACAATTTCGCATGAATGCATATGATGTGATTCATATGAAAATGTGCGATTTAAAAAATATATGAATTTGAACCTGTTGTGAAATCTGCGAAAATGGAAATCTTTCGCCCTCATGTAAAATTCCTGATCATGTTGATTTCTATTGAAATGACTGGATTTCGAACCTGGTCTCATGAGAAAAGGTAACTATTTAACGAGGTGGTGATTTCTATGAATGCGTATGATGTGATTCATATGAAAATGTGCGATTTAAAAAAAAAAAAAGGATGATTTTGAACCTGTTGCGAAATCTGCAAAAATGGAAATCTTTCGCCCTCATGTAAAATTCCTGATCATGTTGATTTCTATTGAAATGACTGGATTTCGAACCTGGTCTCATGAGAAAAGGTAACTATTTAACGAGGTGGTGATTTCTATGAATGCGTATGATGTGATTCATATGAAAATGTGCGATTTAAAAAAAAAAAAAGGATGATTTTGAACCTGTTGCGAAATCTGCAAAAATGGAAATCTTTCGCCCTCATGTAAAATTCCTGATCATGTTGGTTTCTATTCAAATGACTGGATTTCGAACCTGATCTCATGAGAAAAGGTAACTATTTTACAAAGTGGTGATTTTGCATTAATACGTATGATCTGTTTAATATGAAAATGTGCGATTTGTTTTTAAAAATGACGATTTTGAACCTGTTGCGAAATCTGCAAAAATGGAAATCTTCCGCTCTTATGTAACATTTCTGAAAATGTTGATTCCTATTGAAAAGACTGGATTTCCAACCTGATCTCATGAGAAAATGTAACTATTTTATGAGGTGATTTTGTAGGAATTTGTACAATCTGATTGGTGCAGAAATTGATGATGTTTTGAAAAATACGTAAGCATGAAGGTCCACCCCTAAACTTAACCGTCAATGGGGCGTAAGCAGAGTGTTCAAAAAGTATAAATGAGATTGTACAAATTTACACCAATTGGTCACCAATTTGCCAAAACATAAAATAGTTACGTATTGTCATGAGTTAGTATTGCGATTTTGCTCGTTGAAATTCGCCAAACAAAAAGGCCTTTTTTTTAGTAGTGCAGAATACATTTAAACATAGTAAAATGCCTTAAATGTAAAGTACTACAGTCTTATTGATAGATAAAACATTTACCAATTAACCAAAACATAAACACATAAGGGGCAGCAGATATATAGAACGTTGCGAACAAACGTTCCAATTTTCTCTTAAATTTCTCTCTGATTCCGTGTGAGCCTGATGATGTGGCATTCTAAATGCGTTGCACAGCTCTTAAACAAAGCTCAGCAGGAAATGAGAGACAAAGACTAGTACAAAAATAAATCTAGCATGTGAGGTAACAAAATTAGGCAATTCAAGTAAAACGCTCGAACAGAGATGACAGAACACAAACTAAAACGGCGAGCTAACTACAGGTATCCTCAGCAGAAGACTGCAGAAACATATACTGCATTGCGGTTTTTGAATGTAAAAAATAATCTCTTTTTAATTCATAATTTGATTTATGAGTACGATATTACCATTTCATTAGACTAAAATACCTGCAGTTGCAAAACTGTGATTGTGTCATGTTACCATGTGAACAAAAAAAGAAATCAACTGATATGCTGTACTATTTGGTGTGAAAGTGACTGAAATGAAAGCAAATCGCAGAGATTCACCTCTCTGGCTTATGCAGAAATGGTGCTGAAAAAAAAAAAAAACGGGCCTCTGAAACTCTGAAAGTGCAGTGTAGTTATTTAAGGTTGAATAAATGTCCCTAAACATCCACTACAGTTGCTTGGCAGCACAATTTGTATGTACCACTGAGAAAAGCTGTTTTGTTAAGCACTTTATTATGCTTTAAAGAAAATGACTAATGGGTCCAACCCTGTGCATTTCCTCGCATGCGTTTATAAAAAAAACCCATGAAAATTGAGGACCAGAGAGCCTAATAATGAACTTAAGGGAGCATTTTACTAAAAAAGGGCATAATTTCATTCACTAATGTGTTTAGCTCCTCTGTTTCATTATGTGTGTATTTTTTCAGCTTTGGTCCATGTTTTTATTTGACTCAGAATAGCTCCATTAAGACTCCATGAAATCAAAATAGGAGACTTTGAGTCCATGTGTGTTAGCTTTGAGGTTGCTAGCGTATTCTAAACATTGGCCTTTAACGGATATGCATTTAAAAGTATGGTTGTGATGTAACTAAAGCCTACTGGATGATCCCTATGACAGATTTCATGGGGTCTTAAAAATCTATGGCTTATGTGTTGTCCATGGAGATAAAAAAAAATTACGGGAATCCTTATTTGAATAAAACATTACAAGTATGACCATGCAGTGAATTTCTCCGATCAGCAGGGTGGAATGCAGACAAATGGATTCTCGTCATAGTGGTGGACTGTACTACTAACACTTTCTCAGAATTCACATCCCTTTATCATATATAACATTTCCATTTCATAAACATTTGCTAGTGCAGTTACATCCTAAAAATGTGCACAAATGCATGTCACAAACGAAAGGTCAAAAAAATCCACATCACATTTCATTACTTTGACCACGCCCCCTCACCGTCTTTGGCCTGGACCAAAAGCAAACCTTCAGGTGAAATGTCCTTGGGCGCATCTTGCCACTTTCTCTTTCGGTTTTGTCGGCCCATCTCACACGTAGCAGAGGTACAGGTAGGTCTTCTCTATCCTCCAGTCTGGGGGCACGTCCTCGGGCTTGTGGGCCTTTATGTGCTTCTGCATGGACGAGAGGCTGGGGCAGTACTCCTGGCAGATGGTGCACTGGTAGGGAGAAGCGCCGTTGTGGGTACGCAGGTGTTTGATCATGGCGGAGTAGTCCCGAGAGCGCTGGTGGCACAGTTTGCACTCAAACGGCTTCTCACCTGTGGAGAACATGTACAGAACATTTCAAACTACCAATAATGTGAAAATGACAGAAACAGCTGTGTTGATTAAAGACGGCATGAAATGGGAATCACAGCTCATTTTACTTCCATGATATGATGGATAATGTTCGAATTTATTCCAGGGTGATTATTTTTAACTAAAAGTAAAACTAAAATCATAAAAAAGATTTTCGCTACTTAAAATAAAATAAACATTAACAGTAAAAATAAATAAAATAAATGGTAACTGAAAAAAAAAAATATATTAAAAATGACAAAAATACACAACAAATTAATTTGTCATTATGTAAATGTTAAACATATATAAACTAGTAACTATATATGAAATATAAATAATGAAATGATAAAAATTAGTAAAACTAATTAAAATGAAAAGTAATTAAAAATAAAATCAGAAATTCAAAATACAACTAATAAAAACTATTCACAAAAAAAGAAAAACTATATAATAGTATAACAGTGATATTGAAATAAAATAACTAAATATAAACTAATAACTATATATAAAATAAAAATAATGAAATTATAAAAACACAGCAAAACTAGTACAACTAATTAAAAATAAAAACAGAAAATATACATATAAAATCTAATTCAAAATACAACTAATAAAAACTATTACATTCACAATAAAAACTAAGAATTAAATTCTTGAAAATAAAACCTTTTAAGCAGTTCCCTTTATGTACCATTTCTTAGAAAATGTTAAAATAAATTGAATAAAAATAAAAATATATGAAACAGCCTCACTGCTTATTATTATTTGAAAAAAAAAAAAAAAAAAGATTTGTCTGTTAAAGTTAAGAAATTATATCGCAGAGAAACCCCTGCAGACACTCAAAACTGTGACAAGGTCAATAAGACTTAAAATATCAGACAATTTGACCTTTTTGTTTTAATTAATAATTCATGATATTTGTAAAACATACTTTTACCTTGAAAAATATATTTAAAATCTTAATAACTGAAAAAATAAATGATGGGCAATGTAAAAAAAGACTGTCCGGTACTGATGAAAGATTATCATGACAGCAACAGGTTCAAGATTTCCCATACTAGCTCTGCTTCCTGTCTGATAAGGTGGAGTTAAGCTGCCACCTGCTGTCCAGGATGGGAACGACAGATATGTAGATCCGTGGGTGTGCAGCCTGCCACTGAGCACAGCAAACCGAGTATTGATCCACCATTGACAGCAAGTGTAAATGTCAGTGATTCTCCGACTGGTTGTGTGAAGGAGCAGTGGCCTTTCAGCCAAGAGTTTCTGCTCTTGTTATCTTCACCTGCCCGGTCTCGTGGCCGCAGCCCCGCTTGACACAAAGACAGCAATTATTTGACAGGCCTGCTGATAGGTTTGCTTCAGCAGCTGCCTTATTGAGGGCCAGAGAGCAGCAGCAATCAGCCTGTAATTCCAGCTCAGCCGAAAGATTTAATATGCCACCGTGGCGAGACCACGACAGAACAAAATAGATACAAGGAATTTAATATAGTGTGGACCTGAAAATGTCAAGATCTGAATTCTTCAGGTGTAAAACTGCAGCCTTGTAGCGTAATACAATTAATTTATCATCTTATAAAGCTGTTGCCTTGTTTTATTATATCATATTTGCTAGAAGGCACCACGCTGGCTCAGCCGTGTCAAAGATCTCCAACCTGGAAGAGCAGGTCAATGTGTTCCCGGTGTGTATCTATTAACCTGTGAGCTTCTACGGCTTTGGGAATTACTGCTGAAGTGAAGCGGTCATCAGATGAGGTAAGAATGTGGCTGACCTGTGTGGATGCGGTAGTGGGTCTCCAGCTGGTGCTTGAGGCTGAACCTCTTGCCACAGCCGTTACATTCATAAGGCTTCTCTCCGGTGTGGATGCGCTTGTGACCCTTCAGAGTGCTCTCGTCACGGAAGCAGCTCCCGCAGAACTCGCACTCGAACGGGTGGTCACCTGCCGTGCAGAGAGACAACGATAAAGTTCTTAATCTGAATGCATTTTTAATTGGGAGATTCTAGAAAGCATTTGATTGGAGAACAAGCAGTTTCCCATACTGCTTTTCAGTAGAAGAGAATGGGAATGAATAATACATAAAACAGAGAGCGGGACCAGTGTAGTGTGATTCACGAACAAATGACTCGCATGAGCCAGTTCTTTTTAGTGAATCACAACCATACTGTGCTACCAGTGTAGTCTGATTCAGGAACAAATGATGCTTATGAGTCGGTTCTTTCTGATGAATCCAAAACACACAGCACCACAGCCCCTTCTTTTTATAGGCATTATTTTGATTATCACTTTACTTTATTATTGTAATTGCATTTTTCCTCTCTTTTGTTTCATGGTCCTGGGCAGATCAAAGATTTTGTTGTTGTATATAACTTTTTTATACTTTGTCATGTTTTTGTGCTGGCAAATAAAATAGATTTATCAAAACAAAACAAAACAAAACACAAAACAAAACAAAACAAATGCAAAAATGGACAGTAATCAAATAAATCAGAACTAAATAAAATAAAATAAAATAAAAAGATTGAGTCTGAATTACTGTACTGAATAATTTATTTAGAATTAGCAAGATTAACCATACTGTGCTACCAGTGTAGTCTGATTCAGGAACAAATGATGCTTATGAGTCGGTTCTTTCTGATGAATCCAAAACACACAGCACCACAGCCCCTTCTTTTTATAGGCATTATTTTGATTATCACTTTACTTTATTATTGTAATTGCATTTTTCCTTTCTTTTGTTTCATGGTCCTGGGCAGATCAAAGATTTTGTTGTTGTATATAACTTTTTTATACTTTGTCATGTTTTTGTGCTGGCAAATAAAATAGATTTATCAAAACAAAACAAAACAAAACACAAAACAAAACAAAACAAATGCAAAAATGGACAGTAATCAAATAAATCAGAACTAAATAAAATAAAATAAAATAAAATAAAAAGATTGAGTCTGAATTACTGTACTGAATAATTTATTTAGAATTAGCAATTTAGAATTAGCAAGATTTAATTTATTATGCAAAAATAGACAATAATCAAATAAATCAGAACTAAATCAAATTGATCAGTGTTAGTGTTATTTTAGCATTAATTATATACTATTATAATCTTCATTAATATTTTGAATGATCTTATACACACACGTATATGTAAACTAAATGCAAAATAACTCAATATTACATATATTTTATTTATAATTTTTTTATTTTAGTGTAAGTTTTAATAATTATTCATGCTTTTGTAATTTTGTAATTTTTTAGTTTCATTTGTATTTATTTCAGTAGTAGTTTTAGTCATTGTAGAACTTTAAACATATTTTATTTCCGTTAGTTTTATTTTCAAAAAGTTTAAGAATAACAAATTGAATCAAATAGGAATCACATCAAATTTAATCAAATCAAGAGCTTCCTATAAACTAGAATTGAACTGAATCTTTATCAATACCCAGCTCTATGTGTACATGGTTTCTAGCTGGTTAAAGCTGGTCATTAATTGTTCCAAATTGGTTTAGTTGGTTGACTAGTTGCACTCCAAGCCGGTGGGGTCTTAAGGCAACCTGTTTGAACTGGTTAACCACATTTCAAAACATAACTTAAAAAAACATAACTTAGTCTGGTATGACCTGGATTTTCCAGTCAATCCCTATTAAACAAGAAGACTAACATTTCCTTAGTGATCACAAAGAACTGTTGTATCGACACAGCTTGTAAATAAAAACAGGAAGAGAGTTGTGCTCAGATGACAGAGTTATTAATATCGAGTAAACATCACAAGGTGCTGAAAGGGAATCATCCAGCACATTTCTCTCCGCCGGCTGTTCTAATGTCAGTGATGAGTACGAGTCTGATATGTAGTGACTTCAAACGCCGGCCGATTGCTAATTGCTTTCCCGCTCTGACTAACAGCCCCTCATATCATTTCCTCAGACAGCAGCGGCATATAATGCTCGCAATATTTAATACATTTCAGCCCGGGCGGCGTGGTTTTAAAGTCATCGGTGGTGACCTATGCTCTTCATTATCTCCCTGTCCAAGTGCTAGCCGTGCTCGGGAATAAATTGCATCTCTTGTTATGTTCCGTCATGCTCCGACTTAAACCCTCCTCTTAAGAGACAATGCAGAAATTCCCCGAGCACGTTCTCTAAGCCAATCACAACCCGCCATTCACATTCAAATACACTTCTGCCGGAGATGAATGGGTTTCTATCTGGGCCGAGAGAAAAATAAAAGCAGACTGGGAGAGATGAGATCCCTAGTGAACAGATATGAGATTATAGATAGAGTGGCAGACTTTATGCATCTGTATCAACTTATCCGATGCACCTTCTGAAAGCCCTCCAGCCTGTCTGTCATTAAAGTTAATTGCCCAGAGGCATGCAGCAGGCAGGCCTGACTCACAACACCACAGGCATGCTAAAGCGCTAACGCCGTCTACTGCGTGTGCATTCTGAACACGTCACTGACTACACATTGGAGGAAATATCCACAGGTATCAGCTTCGGTGCGTTTCCACATTTGAAAGTCTATTATTGTGCAGACAATGTCGAATTGGAAGTTAAACGCGGTGTCAAACGCACAAGAAAGTGTTTATTGACGATGGTACATTTTAGCTTACAGTGAGTTTTACATAAGCATTGTTAAATATTGAATAAGCCTGACAAAATGGCTTGAAAGTCAAGGCCGAACAACCTGCAGAGACTGTCTGTGCCATAAGCAATGTGAGCTTTGTGCTCTGTACCATCAAACACAGCTGTGAACATAGACAGCCGCCACTGTCTGCAAATGGCCTGGCAGTGAAATGGAGAGCGAACAGGAATGGCATATTAATGAGAACAGGCTACATGTGCAGAATGAAGAGAGGAACAACTGGAGACGCACGCAGCCCATTGTTTGATTTGTCCCTCGCATTGTAATTACAATGCAGATGGTATGAAATATACAGGTGGATGTTGCAGGAGCCCAGGTATTACTTGTTTACGTCTAAGGTTCTTTTTATTTATTAGTTATGATTTTGTTGTTGCGTCATGAAATATTTTAGCTGGAAAGACTAGTAGAGCTGATGATTTATGCTGCTTAGTGCTGGTAGATCAATATCAATGTTGTTTACGAGCCAAATGCCGTTTTTTTTTCTGATGACGCTGACTAACCAAGAGAGGATTTTGGTTAAGCTAGTTAAGAAGCCGGGTAGATGCTACACTCTTATAAATAAAGGTTCTTTATTCACATTGATGGTTTAATAAACAACCTTTAACATACATGGAATCTTTCCATACAAAAAGGTTCTGTCTAGTGGAAGAAGTTCTTTAGATTTTTACAGTGTTCAAAACATGGTTCTATGAAGAACTGTTTACTGAAAGAGTCTTTGGGGAACCAAAATTGGTTCTTTTATGGCATTGCTGCAAAAACTATTATTTGGAACATAATAGCATCCAAAACACAACATATACTGACATGAACAGTTGTACGCTAATTGGATTTACACCTACATCTCAACAAGATCTTTTTAATTTCATGCTTTTTAAATAGCATTTTCGATTAAATAGAGAGCAAATTGTGACCTAAAAAACAAGTCAGAGACCTTCAATATGAACTCAAATATTTCTCATTAAATTCTTCCAAAATTGATGTCTGTTTTCCACATAAATGCTTATCGCTCTTACTGTATGCAACAGTTGTCTCATTTCTTTCTGCTTTTTATTTTAGGATAAACATCTTAAGACTGTTTATTTAAATGAAGTGCACCTAAGATCATCAATGAGTCTCTTAGGCTTTGAAAGGATTTCTAAATTGCTCAAATGATAGGCTTTTGTCTTTGTTTTTCTATTGATATGTTCTCTACAGTTCTTACACATTATATGTATGCATATTTGCATTGTTTTGACCGTTCTCTGTAGATCCCATCTTATTGCACATCACAACTGGTCGATTATGTACAATGCCTGTATGTTATTGGTCAGACTACTTTTCAGGTATTACCTTAAACAAGTATGAAATCAATAGGAAAACCAAGGCAAAACTTGGACATTTTTGACAATTTAGAAATGAACTCTTGAGATGCGGTCCAAACACCACAATTTCAGTAAGTTTATACTCACGTCTGCAAGCTGTTTAAAACCTCCTGCAATTCAAGTACAGAGAAATCAGATTTTGCTTGTTGAAATAGCTACAGAAGTTGACATTTACTCAGACTCCGTTAGGAACGTCAGAATGTCTTTTCAGATGTTGTTCTGGAAAAACTCATGTACCCTGCAGTCTGTGGCGAGATGGAGTGCATACGTAATGCCTCGACTCTTTAAAAAAACAACCTCACTTCATTTCTGGCCCCTCTTATCAAAAATTTACATGTTGAATCTAGACTTGAACTGCCTCTGACAATCTTACTGGTATTTCAGGTCAGACAGAGAGAGCAAAAGTGAGAGAAAGATGCACTCTTGCAAGTAAATGGAGTAGGGGCAATTTAGTGCTCTTTCTGTTCACTGCCAGACCAGACAGATTCAATCATCGCTGTGTGCCTAGTTATGAAGGAAAAACAGAGATAACTGTTAAACAGGCTTGTACAAAGTACACTGATATAGTCTGTTCTAACAAACTGTAATGGATGTTGATTTATATTTATTCAATTTCTAGCTAATATTTGCTTGAGCATGCTTATATTTTGTAATCCTACCTGTTGCACTGAAAATAATCTCAGTGCCACCTTACCAAACATCCTTCTTCCACCTAAATTTCCTCTTTTTGTCATCGTTATTGGGTCATTTGATAATTCAATTCTCACACTCAGAAATTATCATAATGTAGAATGGTAAAAAAGGTCAGGTTTGACCTACTGTCTGTAATAGAGGGGCTTGACTTATGCTTAAAGTTTCCCTGAAGGAAACTAAGGGGAGAAAGAGGGAGGTAAGGTAGAGAAAGAGACAAAAGACTGTCAGAAGATAGTCTGAGCCTCAGATGGGCCGCCCACAGACTATAGGGAGACCAAGTTTTGTTGACAAGTTACCACACTGCTCCTCCTGAACTGTTTGAAACTTTGCCACATCTCAGCTTGTGGTCCGTTTGCCCTTTTCTGCATTACATGGAGGTGTGAAGCTGTTAATGTGCTTTTAGATGACTCGGATATTGGCGGTGGGAGGGATGTTCAGGTAAAGCTCACCTGTGTGCGAGCGAAGGTGGCGTTTGAGCGCCGTGTGGCTCGGGAAGGTGCGCTCGCACTCGCTGCAGACGTAGCTGCGCATGCCGGCGTGAATCTCCATGTGCTGCTGCAAAGCCTTCTGGGTCTGGAAACGCTTCCCACATAGGAGACAAAACACTGCCATGTCTGAGCCTTAAGATGAGAGACAAAACGAGAGGTGGTTTAATTAGTGTTTAGTGCAAAGAATGCAGAATTTGGATTTCATCCATTTTGTTGTTAAGTACATTTGAGCAAAATGAATGAATAAGTCTATGTGTTTCATAATGGATGGGGTTGAAGAGACTTAAATGTATCGTCTTAGTTTCTCTTTTCTCCACAACAAAAAAACAGTGCTTTCAGTATCTATGGACAATCAATAATGTATCTTTCAAGTAAAGCTGTCTCTAATTTAAAATCTTTGTGAAAGCCCAGTGTTGGGCTCGTGAACAGCAGGCTGAGATTGACTTCTCACTCAATCAATCAGCATTTACGACAAAGCTCAGAGTAAAAAAAAGCATTAGTGCCTGAGACACATAAAAATGAACCTCTACACTTCACTGACAGCTCGTCTGTAATGTGAGTTTGTTGTAAATGTACTTAGACAAGTTGCCCGATTTCTCTTCCATTCTCTCCAAGTTTAAGAGCCGACATTGATTACGAAGGGCCATTCAGGGGCCGGGAGAAGACATTCAACCTTGAAAACTTTTTGAGTAAGATCAACGATACAAAAGAAACAAGTTTTAGGACTATTGTTATTAAAAAAAGAAAGAAATTTGCAAGAATGTAAAAAAAAAAGAAACATTTCAGATTCTGCAGTTTTTCTAGGTCACTAATCAAATGTAATGATCATGAACTCCTTTGTAAACATGGCAAGATGTTCTTGGTTTGATAAAATAAAATTAAGTTATAATAATTATATAATAATAATTATTATTATTATTTGAAATACTTAAATTCATGAATATTTTTCAGGTGTCCTAGCAGGCTGTTATGCTAAAATTTATTCAATTAAAAAAGAATGCAAAAAGGAAGCAGTTTCATGGTCTATTTTGGATGCCAGTCTAGCTCAAGGATAACAAAAAAAGCAGAAGAAAACCATTCAAGGCAAACCTCGCTGTGAAATACTGCAGAAATACAAATGATGACACATTCTTGAGCTTCATTATATCAGACACATAACAGATATTTGTGTTGTCAGCTCTTTTCAGAAGAAAAAAATAACCGAGGCAATCCAGCACGGGCAAAAATATATGAGACAACTGTGGTAAAGAAAGAGAAAGCACGAGGGGAAGAGAGAGAGGGAGCTTAGCTTCACTACTGTTTAATGTCTTTAGGAATAATTTACCTCTACAATTCCAACTATTTATACCATCACTCAGCTCCTCTGAGAGCATCCCCCTGCTTTTATTTTTCCTCATTCTCTCTCTCTCTGTCTCCTTCTGTCTCCCTCGTTCTCTGTGTCTAGCTCCCAGCAGAGCTTTAATGGTTCTGAAGTGGCTGACAGAGTAGCTTAAGCCGGGTGAATAGGGCTGCTAATGGAGCCAGCACCTCTCTCAGAGTGAGTGTCAGAGACTCGGCTCTCCTCAGCAGCTGCTCTGCTCTGTTTCCCACAGACTGCAGAGCTGCCCGCTACCCACACTACACCTCATTCAGATGCACAACAGGAGAAAGAGCTGTGTCACTCGCTACTCCAGTACGTCAAAATGATGAGAAGATTGTAAAACAGTATGTGTTTTTCAACATAAAGACATCAGGGTTGGGCAAAATACAGAATTTAATCATCGTCTCACTTTCAGTTCATGAATGGGAATGTGAACTGCACTGCCTACATGCTATACCATTCTGAATTGGAATTTCAATTGGAAATACAGGAAGAGGAATTTAGTAAAATGCAGTAATACAGTTACGACAAGGGAATTTCATTAGTTTTAACACGTTTTGTGATTAAAAAGTAACATGTTTTCCAAAAAAATATTAAATAGCATGACTATTTTCAACTTTGATAATAAAAAGAAATGTTTCTTGAGCAGCGAACCAGCATATTAAAATAATTTCTGCAGGATCATGTGACAATGAAGACTGGAGTAATGATGCTGAAAATTAAGCTTTTCATCACAGGAAGAAATTACATTTTAAAATATATTCAAATAGAAAGTAGTGATTTAAAATTGTAATATTATTTCATAATATGACTGTATTTTTGATCAAATAAATGAACATATAAGAGACTTCAAAAACATTGCACAATCCTACCAACCCCCAACTTTTGAACAGTAGTATACATATAAAATAAACATAAAAACTTTTTGGATTACGTTAAATAATAAGAAAACCAAATATAATGCTTTTTTTTTTCATAAATACAGCCTTCAGACTAATCAGAATCAAGTATTCCAGAGAGCCGTGTAATAACTCATGAATTTCTGTAAAAAAATGTTTTATATCTCAGCTTTTAAATCTAACATAAGATAATATATACTGTATGCTATGATATGACACATATGGGCTTTCAGAGATGAAGAAAGGATAAAATGGAGGGTAAAAGTCGAAGTTGGGAGGTTTGGCTCATTGTGTGGTGCATGTGAGTGGGGTCAGAGGTCAGGAGCGCAGAAGGCAGATGTGAGACGTGAGAAAGGACCCACCTGTCCCAGAATGCAATGACGAGAAAACAAAAATATAATTGAACGCTGTAAAATAATCTCCAGATGAGATTGAGTTGAGATGTTTCTTACATAAATTCTGATTATACTGTTGTGTGGATGTAAATAATTTAGTACAAACAGGTAACTCCATGTAATTTTTGCCAGTTTTGCCGAAAAAAAATAATTCAAACGCTCCAGTTAATACTTAAAAACGCTCAAGTTAGTTTATTACTTAGGCTTAATCTTGATTAAAAGTAATGGCAATGCAAACCAACACCACTAATGAAGAAAAACTCATCATCTATTAACCATTTGGTCTAGACATGGAGCTCAAAAGGCCATGAAGGCATGTTTTTCTCTGTTTTGTCTAGGATATTCCTTTAGCCCTGCTTATGTAGAATTAATGAAGATACACTCTCTTGAAGATAACACATTAATCATAAAGCACGCTTTAAAAATTCATATAAAGCACCGGCTCCTATTTCACATGCAGAGCCAGAGCCACCTTCCCACATCACACCTGAACTTTAATGTCAAAACTTCATTTAAACAGATTAAACGGCATTATGCGGCGGAGAACATCTTCGCCTTTTAAAACGAAAATACACAAGAAGCCGAGACCGCCTGTTCTGGCCCAATATCATTTACAATGGAAAGAGAGGCTGCATGCATCTCGACGATTCTTACAAATCCCCTTTAATCAGATATGAGAGGAACTGAGACGAGAGCGCGGGGGGAGGATGAGCATTAGTAAACACAAGGCTGTTCGGTGCTTCATTGGCATTCGAGTGGGGTTAGAGTGCTGCATTTAAAATGCTGCCTGATGAGGACTACAAAATCAAACCATTTGTTACCACTATTGAGGAGCCTGCAGGCAACAGGCAATTAAATTGGAATTAGTGCAGGGAGATCAGATACAGATGATTCACACACAGAGAGGGGGAGCTGTCAAAGCCCGAGTTTCATTTCGTTTGGAGGGGACAAATACTTCAAGAGTAAACACATTTATCCCTCTGGCATGCAAGCTCACCGGCCGCAGCGAATATAACTCTGCCATGATTCCGAACTGGATACGATTTACTAACATGGATTGTAAATACAAGAAACAAACATGCGTCTCAAGAATAGAATAAACACATCATCATTGGAATGACTGCGCTGGCTCCAAATCAAAGCTGCAGTGTAGCATTTTTACAGCACCAAATGAGAAAATAATGTCCCCTGTCTGCCACAGTTCGGGCCTAAGGCGCTCTAATATACCTGGAATTGGCATTCCCATCATCTCAATGGCAGTTGCTCTTCTGGAGCATGTAGATTTGGATGTATATGGTTGGATTTCTGCCAGCTTTGCTTCATGGGCATTTTGGAAGTTTGTTTTCAGTGAATCACCTGAGATGTAAATGTCACATGATAGATAACAGAATATTCTGTCTGAAAACCAAAATGTAAAACTGTTTATTTATTAATTAATTTATTTTTGCCCGAATGACACAGTGATAAATAATCATTAGACTACTATGAAAATATGCATTTTATTATTTCCATAAAATCAGATTTTAAAATAACAATATTATAATAAAGAAATAACTAATATTTTTTATGTTTATTTTTATACACACTACTGAGAAAGTGTGGGATTGGTAAGGTTTTTTTTTTAATGTTTTTGAATTAAGTTTCTTATGCTCACCAAGGCTGCATTTATTTGATCCAAAAATACATTAAAAACAGAAATATTGTTAAATATTATTACAATTTAAAACAACCAATCTCTCTTTCAATATATTATCAAATGTAATTTATTTCTGTGATGGCAAAGCTGAAATTTCAGTCTTCAGTGTTCAGTGCACTTGATCCTCAACAAATCATTCTAATATGCTGATTTGAGGTTATATATTTATATATATATATAGACACACACACACACACACACACACACACACATATATATATATATATATATATATATATATA